TACAAAGAAAACTTTATAGACTACTTCAAGAAACCATAAGATATCTACATAAATGGAAGAGTATACCGCACTCATGGATAGGAAGATTGAACATTGTGAAAATGTCAATTCTACCCAAAGCAATCTATACATTCAATGATCCCAATCCAGATCCCATCAACATTCTTTAAGGATGTGGAGAAAACAGTCACTTACTTTATTTGGAAAGGAAAGAGACCTCAGCTAATCAAAACACCACTGAAGAAGAAGAACGAAGTAGGAGGTCTCACCTTTCCAGATCTCAAAATCTACTATCCAGGCACAGTATTGGTAGAATGATAGACACACAGACCAGTGGAACAGAATTGAGAATCGAGAAAAAGATCCATCAACCTATGGTGAGCTGATCTTTGACAATGGGCTGAAATCTATTACATCGGGAAGATATTGTCTCTTTAACAAATGGTGCTGGCAAAACTGGATCTCCATATACAGAAAAATGAAACAAGATCCAAACCTCATATTATATACAAGAATGAACTTGAGATGGGTCCAAGACTTAAATGTGAAACGTACAACTATAAATGAAAAAAATAGGGGCAAATTTAAGGGCCCTAATTTATGGCACAAATAGACTTCAAGCATAACCCAAAATCCAAAACAGCAGAAGATAAACTAGATGAATGGGACCTTCTAAAAATTAAATTTTTCTGTGCTTCCAAAGACTTCTCCAAAAGCATGGAAAGAGAACCTACAGATTGGGAAAAATATTTGGCGATATCCTATCTGACAGGGACTTACCTCAAAATTTTACAGAAAACTGCAACACCTCAACAACAAAAAGACAATCCAATTTAAAAAAATGGGCAGAAGACATGAATAGACACTTCACCAAAGAGGATACTCAGGCAGCCAACAAACACATGAAGAAATGTTCACAATCATTAGCCATTAGAGAGATGCAAATCAAAATGAGATATCACTGTGCCCCAGAACTAACAGCCAAGTTCATCAAGACAGAAAATAACAAATGCTGGTGAGGATGTGGAGAGATTGGGACTCTCATACACTGCTGGTGGAAATGTCAAAGGAAATAACCACCGTGGAAAGCAGTATGGTGAGTCCTTAAAAAGTTGGAATTATAAATACCATTTGACCCAGCAATCCCATTACTAGGTATATATCCTAAAGAAGTCACAAAAACAGGACAGGAACAGATAAATGCACACCGATCTTCATTGCAGCATAATTTACACCAGCAAAAAATGGAAACAATCTAGGTGTCCATCAATAGAAGAATGGATAACCAAACTACAGAACGTACACACAATGGAATACTATGCAACACTAAAGAATAAGGCAGAATCTGCAAAACACTTTCTAAGTTTTATACTATGTACTATTCTAAATAGCCCAATGAAATTTCATGCTGTCTCTCCCAGGATGTGAATCATCTCTTTGTCCAGTATATCCATGCTGTATATGTTACCCCTTATCAGTCACTTAGTAGCCATCTCCAGTATCAGGATCTACTGTAATGGTATCATAGTGCTTGTGTACCTTATTTTACTTAATAATTTTTCTATTTTATTACTAATTATTGTTGTTAATCTCTTACTATGCCTATTCAACTTTATCATAGATATGTACATATAAGAAAAAACATAAGGCTGGTACTATCTATAGTTTCAGGCATACACTGGAGGTCTGAGAATGTACCCCCTATAGAAAAGGTGGGTCTATTGTACACTGATAACATCCTGGAACTGAAATGTTAGTAAATAGTTAAGATACTTCTACTTAAACTCTTTGCAAATGATAAAATAGGACTTTATAAAAGTTGCCATTGATACTGATGAAAATGAAAAATAATTGGTAAGCAGGTCTTACCCTTTGAGAATCCTGTTATTACAATCATAATCAATAGGATATTATTATAAATATTCCATACCTAAACAAAAATTTGGTCCAAGAGGCAAGAATTAACATTTAAGAAGGACGTTAACAAACTAAAACTTGTTTAGAGCAACATTAGAAAGAGTAAATTAGGTCATACATCCAAAAGTTGAAGAACTTTGAACACGGGCTTAAAGAGAACTAGAAATCAAATATGAGAAGAACTGTCTAAAGTTAGATTAGATTTTAGTCAACAGATTCAAAGATGACAAAGATCTATATACTTAAAGGTTGAGAAATTGAGAATAAGATATGATGTGATAGACAGGAGTCCCTCATTATTATTATTAAAGTAATATTCTGGTGACTGATTAGGACAGCTTCCTTAATAAAGCAAAAATCTCAGGTTTACCTGTACTGACTCCAGTCATGTCCATTTCATCACTTGGCTGTATCGAATCCATCTCTGCTGTTAAGTGTTTACAATACATGCAGATATACTCTTCTTTCAGCTGAGAATCTAGCTCATGATCCACTGGTTTATCACATTCTAAGTGAACCCACCTACCATGATAAATATATTTATATATATTTATAAGTATTTTATTTAAAGTCAAATTCATATCTAGGAAATGGGGTAATTGCTGAAGTGTGTGTGTGGTGGGGTGGGGGTGCGGGGTAAAGATAGAAAGGTTATAAACCCAAAAAACACCCACTGCCACCAAAACGATTATGACTCAGCTACCCTAAAGGACAGAATAGAACTGCCCCATACAGTTTCAGAGGTTATAAATCTTTATAGAAGCAGGCTGCCTCAACTTTCCGTCACAGAACAGCTGGTGGTTTCGAACCACCGGCCTTCCAATTAGCAGCCAAATGCTTTAACCTCCACACCACCAGAGCTCCCCGAGTAAGGTTACAAGGGTTGGTGAATGGCACTGGGCTTAGCATTTTTGGAAGCCACCGGAAGTCTACATTTTTAAAATATTTTCCCTTTTCTTTGTCTTCAAGCTCATTTCTGTTGCCCATTTGTCTTCTTTATGCCTTTCAGACCAAGACAACACAATTTAATTTCAGCTTTATCAGCAGTCAGTACTAAAGGGATTACTGAAATAGTAAAATCTTTGAGCTCAAAGGTACATAGTAGGGCAAGAGACCACATGGATAAAAGAACTACAAAATGATTTATTGGAATAATTACATTTCTTACCTTTTACACATATTACAATGAAGCATGTCTTCCTGAAATTCTGGATGGTAGCACTTCCCACAAAAAGGACATAAGTTATCCTGTTGTTGATAACAACTGTCACACACTAGGCAATTGTGGTGCCACTGAGAACTAGATCTTGTGCCACACTCTACACATATTCTGCAATTCTGAACTCAGGAAAAAATAAAAAACAAAAAAGTTTGTTATGGATAAAATAGTTTGTTATTGCAATTTTGATATAAACCTTTTTAAAACCAATGAGACATTCATGGACTATATATTAAGCTCCAATTTTTGCCATACTAATTTAGGGTGTATGTTTTAGAAAAGGCAATTGGTATCGAAATGTCTGATGTGACCTTACAAAATGTGCACTAAAACCTCCAAAAGAACATAAATAAGTACAGGGGCATCCAGGAACGCATAAATGGGGAAAGGAAGAAAATCAAGAAGAGAGCAACCCAAACATTAAAAAAGCAGCATATTTAGGAATCAGGAAGCAGCTTTTGTAAAATAAGTCTATTGAACTTAGAAAGCAAAATGGGACTGCTAAGATATCCTATCAGCTTCTGAATTGCTTAGGAGCAGGAAACAAAAACTTGCACTAAAGAAATAGCATCACACATGCCAAATGACTTGACATTTGAAATTGTAAAAATAATCACTCCATCACTTCACATTCAAATCCAATGATGACTCTTTATTTTCAGAATGAAGAGTAGAACCATCCTCACCAAAGTCAAACTGTTTATGAAAGTGTAAGGGTAAGGCCTGCCAAAAGTCAATCAAAACACTTTTTGGTGCTGTATGCTAGACAGCCTTAAAATCTTGGGCACAAGGTTCTCATTATTCACCACAACTTTAAAACACCAATAAAAGTAAATTCCTTTTTTTGAGCTGCCAGCTTGATATGAATGAGGTGCTCACCCGAAAAGATATATGAGCATGAATCATAGATTTGCTACAGTCTTACAGACTTAAAATACACACTTATTAAACATTGATAGAAAAATCTGAATAAAATATTAGCAAACAGACTGCAAATAGCAAATTACCAAAATAAACCATGAGCAAGTAGGGTTTATGCCAGAAATGCAAACATGGTTAAATATTAAAAAATCTACAGATAAAAGGAGTTCTGGTAGCATAGTGCCTAAGGCACTTGACTGTTAACCAGAAGGCTGGCGGTTCAAACCCACCAGCCACTCCTCGGAAGGAAAGGTGGGCAATCTACTTCAGTAGTGATACCGCCTGGGAAACCCAAGCAGGGGTCACTATGAGTCAGGGCTGACTCAATGGCACATAACAACAACAACAACAGATAAAATTTAGTATTAATAGTCTGAGGCCCAGAGCTTGCAGGCTGCTTTTCGCTTGGATGTGGCTCTTTATTAAGGCTGGGACCTGAGGAAGGCAGGCCTGGGGCTTGGGGGTGGCTGTATTTTGAGGCCAGGGCCCAAGATAGGTGGGCCAGGGCTCAGAGGCTGCTTTTCCCTTGGGGGTGGCTCTTTTTTAAGGCCAAGGCCTGAGACAGGCAAAGTGGATGTCAGAAGAGACTCTGAAACTTGCCCTCGAGCGGAAAGTAGCTAAAGCAAATGGAAGAAATGACAAGATAAAAGAGCTGAACAGAAGATTTCAAAGAGCAGCTTGAGAACACAAAGCCAATTACTATAACGAAATGCGCAAAGAGTTGGTGTTAGAAAACCAAAAGAGAAGAACACGCTCAGCATTTCTCAAGCTGAAAGAACTTAGGAAAAATATTGAAGCCTCAAGTTGCAATACTGAAAGATTCTATGGACAAAATAATGAACGATGCAGGAAACATCAAAAGAAGATGGAAGGAATACACTGAGTCACTGTACCAAAAAGAATTGGTCAATGTTCATCCATTTCAGGAGGTGGCAAACGATCAAGAACCAAAAGTATTGAAGGAAGAAGTCAAAGCTGCACTAAAGGAATTGGTGAAGAACAAGGCTCCAGGAACTGACTGAATACCCAATGAGATGTTTCAACAAATGGATGTCCCGCTGAGGCACTCATTCGGCTATGCTAAGAAATTTGGGAGACAGCTACCCGGCCAATTGACTGGAAGAGATCCATTATTTGTACCCATTCCAAAGAAAGGTGATCCCACAGAATGTAGAAATTATCTAACAATATTATTAATATCACATGCAAATAAAATCTTACAGAAGATAATTCTAAAACACTTACAACAGTATATTAACAGATAGTTTCCAGAAATGCAACTATATTCAGAAGAGGACATGGAAAGAGTGATATCAATGCTGATGTCAGATGGATCTTACATGAAAGCAAAGAATACCAGAAAGATGCTTACTTATGTTTTATTGACTATGCAAAAGCATTCCATTGTGTGGATCATAACAAATTGTGGATAACATTGAGAAGAATGGGAATTACAGAACACTTGATTGTAATCGAGGAACCTGTACATAGATCAGGAGGGTGTTATTTGAATAGAAGAAGGGGATACTGCATGGTTCAAAATCAAGAAGGGAGTGTGTCAAGATTGTATGCTTCCACCATACTCATTCAACTTGTATGCTGAGCAAATAATCCAAGAAGCCAGATTATTTGAAGAATGTGGCATCAGGATTGGAGGAAGACTCATTAACAACTTGCCATATGCAGATGACACAACTGTGTTTGCTGAAAGTAAGGATGACTTGAAGCACTTAACTGATGAAGATTAAAGACTACTGTCTGCAGTATGGATCACACCTCAATATAAAGAAAGCAAAAATCCTCACAACTGGTCCAATAATCAGTTTCATGGTGGATAGAGAAAAGACTGAAGTTGTCAAGGATTTCATATTACTTGATTCTACAATCAGCATAAATGGAAGCAGCAGTCAAGACATCAGACAACATATTGCATTGGGCAAATCTGTTTCAAAAGACTTCTTTCAAGTGATGAAGAGCAAAGATGTCTCCTTGAAGACTAAGGTGCACCTAACCCCAGCCATGATATTTTTCAATCACCTCTTACACATGTGAGAGCTGGAAAATGAATAAGGAAAAATGAAGAAGCGTTGATGCTTTTGAGTTGTGGTGCTGGAGAAGAATGCTAAGAGTACCATGGTCTGCTAAAAGGACTAACAAATCTGTCCTTGAAGAAATACAGCTGGAATGGTCCTTGGAAGAGAGAATGGCCAGAGTTTGTCTCACCTATTTTGGTCACGCTGTCAGAAGGAACCATTCCCTGGAGAAGGATATCATGCTTGGTAAAGTGGAGGGTCAATGAAGAAGGGGAAGGCCCTGAACAAGATGGACAGACACAGTGGCTGCAATGATGGGCTCATGTATATCAAGGATCATGAGGCTGGCACAAGACCGGGCAGTGTTTTGTTCTGCTGTGCACAGGGTCACTATGCGCTGGAGACAACTCGACAGCACCTAACAACAACAACAGTCTGAGGCGAAGAAAAATAACTATTTCAATAGATGCTAAAAAAGCTTTTGAAAAAAGATAGAAATGGATAAGTATTTCTTTAGTGTGATAAAACCTAAGTCTTCATCCTAAAGCCAGCATCTTATTTACTGAACTTAGTGGAGGAGTCCTTGATATTACCACTAGGCTCAAGAACAAAGCAATGATGCCCAGTATCTCCACTACTATTTATTAACATTCTGGAGCTGATGTAAATAGAGTAGAGAAAACAATGAGAGGTACAAAAATAGGAAAAGAAGAAATAAAAACTCTCAGTATTATTTGTAAAATCCTAGAAAAGCAATCATAAAATTACTGGAATAAAAGAATTAATCAAAGTAGCAGGGTATAAAATTAGCATGCAAAAATCAATAAAATTCAAATACACAAATAATAACTGGGTAAAAGATGTAAGGAATGAGGAAACCTCACTTCAAAGAGCAGCATTACTGATAAAATATTTAAGAATAAACAAGAAATGTTCAAAACCTATAGAAAGAAATTATAAAACACTCCTGAAAGACACAAAACTAAACATGAACAAATGGAAAGATATCCCTGTTCTTGGTTAAGATGACTTACCACCAAGACATCAATTATCTCAAATTTAATTTAAAAATTTAAAGTAATCCCAATAAAAACCCCAGTGAGGTTTTTCATGTAGCTACATAAAGTGATCCTAAAGTTCATATAGGAAGATAAACACAAGAACAACTAGAAAAAAATATGAAAAGAAAAAGCTCTCAGAGGGGACCAACAATACCAGATACTCCAAAGCCTCTGTTAAGTAAAATAGTGTGTGATACTGGTGCATGAATGAAATAGATCAGTAGAATAGAAAAGAAATTTCAGAAATGAACTAAAGCTAAAGATGAAATTGCAAATAACCAGCGCAGGCAGTCTTTTTAACAACCGGATAGCCAACTGCACAAAAGTACCTTATACCATACACAAGGATCAACTGCTACCTTAAGTGTAAGAAATGGAAAAATAAGAACACATATCTGATTATCATAAAAATATAGGGAGGATAAACCAGAAACCAATGAAGTTAGTTACCTTCAAGAGTATGGGAAAATGGGTAGAAGTGAGAGGAGGGAGTGACACTTCTGTGAGTACTTCTTATATAGCTTTGATTTCTGAAAACATTTTAATATACATATATTTTTTAATTAATAAGAACAGGAGACAGCAAACTAATAATGAGAGCAACCTGGAGAAGATTTGTTTTTGGACTGAAAAAATGAGTAAATGTTTTGAAGTTGTCAGGCTGTAGGACTCTTACCATAATGGACATCCAAGAATCCATGCACTGGTTTGAATCCACCAATGCTGTGCAGGAGAAAGATGTGGTGCTTCTGTGAAGATGTATAGCCTTGGAAATCCTAAGGGGCTTTCAAGTTTGTTCTATAGGGGTCACTATGAGTTGGCATGTCTAGGAGCTCAGGTAGCATAGTGCCTAAGGCACTTGACTGCTAACCAGAAGGCTGGCGGTTCAAACCCATCAGCCACTTCTCGGAAGGAAGGCTGGGTAATCTAGTGCCATAGTGATACCGCCTCAGAAACCCAAGGAGGGGTTACTATGAGTCAGGGCCACCTCAATGGCACATAACAACATGAGTTGGCACAGACACAATGGCAATGGGTTTTTACATACGCATATTTTGTGTGTATGTATATAAGTGTGTATATTTGTGTGTATGTGTATGTAAT